AACTCTTATAAAGGAAAACATTTAATTGGGGTGGCTTACATTTTCAGAGGTTCAGTCCATTATCATCATGGTGCAACATGGTGGCATGCAGGCAGACATGGTGCTAGAGAAGTAGTGAGATTGCTACATGTTGCAGGCAACAGGAAGTTGACTGAGACACTGGATGGTATCCTGAGCATAGGAAACCTCAAAGCCCACCCCTATGTTGACACACTTCCCCCAACCAGGCCATATCTACTCCAACAATGCCACACCTCCTAATAGTGCCACTCCCTATGAGATTATGGGGTCAATGACATTCAAACCACCACAGGCAGGGTTGAACTTGGTGATGCACACCTCAGCACTAGGGAGGTTGAGACAGGAGGATAGGGAGTTCTAGGGCAGCCTGAGTTACGTAGCCTAATGCTGTCTCAAAAAAAAAATCCCAGAAAACAACAACAACACACCCCAAGAATTAGGCCAGGTGTGGTGGCACACAACTTTAATTCCAGCACTAAGGAAGTACACAATGAGTTTCAGGTCAGCCTGGGTTGTCCCAGGAGACCCTGTCTAAAACAAAACAAACAAACAACAAAAGTTGCTGAGGAGGCAGCACAATGATAGAGTTCTTGTTTGGCATGTATAAGACATTTGGCTTGATTATCAACCCAGCAAAGGGAAAACCAAAACAAACAAAAAACAAGCCAACTGAGTGGTCCTGGGCAGCACAATTTACGGGCGTCTAAGCAAGTGGCCCTTTTCACTTCACTTTCCTAGATGGCTTAAAGGCAAGAGTAGCCTGGTCAAAGAGATTCAGTGCTTGAAAAGGTACCTCAGAGGCAGAGCTGTCTGCAAAAGTCGCTCTCACCCCCCCCTCCCACATCAGCCTATGTCTGCGTAGCCTGGAACAATCCATTTACTTACCTCTGCACTGGTACCATGGAGGAGACCTCCATGTTGCCAACTCCAAAGGAAGCTTGGGGTGTTCAGGTTGCAAGACTAGACACACGGGGTCACTCTTCTTTCAACGTGGCTATGTCCTCAGCACTGTCATAGTTAGCTGCAGAAGCCAACTTGACATAAACCTAGAGTCACCTAGGAAGAGGAAACCTTGGCTGAAGAATTGCCCTGATCAAATTGGCCCCTGACTATCCTATGAGGCATTTTCTTAATTGCTAGTTGATATAGGAAGGCCCAGCACACTGTGCTGCATCCTTATGCAGGTGATCCTGGGCTATAGAAGCAAGCCTCCAAAGTCCTGCCCTGGCATCCCTCATGATGGACTGTAACCAGTAAGCCAGATGAACCCTTTGCTCCCCAAGTTGCTTTTGAGCGTGGTGTTTATCACAGCCACAGAAACAAACTAGGACAGCCTCTAAGCATCTCTCTTGGCACCTGGCAAGGTGTGGCCCTTGTTCCCTTTTAACATGTTCTTCTGCTTTATCGTTAAGTCATCCACTCATCAATATTCCTATTTAGAGGTCTCAGCAGCATCTCAAATGACAGCACACAGAGTCCTTGAAGCCCTTTCCTCAGTCCAAATGGGATCATCCCCTTCCTCTGCATCTCCACCTGAGGAACCAGCATCCACCTGGTGCCTGGGGCCCCTGGTTGCTAGGTGCCACCACTCTTGTGTTCTGTTCTCCTCTTTGTCTCCATGGAAGTCACTGTCGTGTCTCATAGAGTTGACAGCAGCAGCCTCCTAGAGGCTCTCTCTGCTCCCTCTCTTGTCTCCTCCCACCAGTGGGCCACAAAGATTCTTTGAGAAGCAGGATTATGTCATCTTCATGCTTAAAATCCTTCCATGATGTCCCTCCACCCTAAAGAGAAATGCTAACAAAGTCCTGTCTGTTCTGCCCTCTCTTCACCTCCCAGATGCATCCCGTGACCTCTCCTGCTAGATTCCCTTTGCATCCATTCAAGGGCCATCCAGAAATTTCTGGAATTTTCAAAGAACTCCCTTTCCCCAAGGCCTTTGTAATCACCCACTTCTCTGTTGTTATTTTTTTCTTGTCATGTGTGACTTGGATCCGCAGACAACCATTGGTGGGCCACCCTACTCTCTATTCTAACGGTTATTTCTCCCCAGTACAAGTATTCATTTCTGTATCACACCTCACGTTATCCCAAGGGCAGGGGTAATAGCATGCTATTTTTTCCATATATCCTCAATGGCCAGGAGTAGACTTGTTAGATATGCACAAAAGGATTTCTTTTGGAATGAGGACATAAAAAATAACACCGATAGTAAATAATAATATGTCATTCAGGGCTCTGATTTTGAGTTCTTAACTAGGTTTGGGTTTTTGTTTGGTTGTTAGGTTGGTTGGTTCATTGGTTTGTGTGTGTGTGTATGTGTGTGTGTGTGTGTGTGTGTGTGTGTGTGTGTGTGTGTGTGTAGCTTTCTTAACACTTAAATAATATGGAGCTGGAATCATGTTATATCTAAGGACAAACTCAGACAATCTCAGCTCACTTTTGCTTTCAAATGGCAAAAATGCTACACTAAAAACAACAAACAAACCAGGCCAGGCAATGGTGGTGCACTCCTTTAATCCCAGCATTTGGGAGACAGAGGATGGAGGATCTCTGTGAGTTCGAGGCCAGCCTAGGCTAGAGAGTGAGTTCCAGGACAGCCAGGACTGTTTCACAGAGAAACTCTGTCTCAAAAACAAAACAAAACCCAAAGACAAACAAACAAACAAACAAAATACCCCCACCTTTCTTTTCGTGTGTCTGTGTGTGCACATGCACATTGCCAACAGCATTCATGTAGGGTCAGACAGCACCTTTGGGAGGGCTTCTTGCTGCTACCTATACATATACGAGGCTAGCTAGTCTGTAAGGCTCCAGGTATTCTCCTGCATCCACCCCCACCACAGAAATGCTGGGATTACAGAGAAGTGCTACTACTTCTGGCTTCCTGTGGGTTCTGGGGATCTGAGCTCAGATCCTCACATTTTGTGGCTTAAGGCTGGAACCTAGGACTTCCCCACTGAGCTACGCTCCCAAAATAACTTACACTTTAGAAGATATAAGAGCAGGAAAACATCTACAGAATGGCAATAATTTTTTTCCTAGCAGAATATTATTGAAGTGGAAATAGAACTTGCCTTGGAAGCCGCATCTATAACTGATCCAGCAAAAGGGTAAAGATAAAATGCATATTTCTTTTGGGGGGGTTGTTTGTTTTTCGAGAAAGTTTCTCTGTGTAACAGTTCTGGTTGTCCTGGAACTCGTTATGTAGACCACACTGGCCTGGACCTTACAGAGATCTGCCTGTCTCTGCCTCCCAAGTGCTGGGCTTAAAAGTGTGTGCCACCACTGCTTGGCTAGCATATTCCTTTTAAAGCATAATTTAGCTTGCCATCAATACCAGCTTGAGAGTAGATCACTCAACAAAGAGCCCCAGGGAATTGTGCAAAGAGAATAAGGCAGAGTAACAGGCTGCTGTTCTGGAGTAAGAACATTTGTTTAACTATGTAAAGATGTGTTGCATTGTTTTACCTTGCCTGTCTAAGGCACCTTGTAGATAGAGAGAAACAGATTGAAATATGTTATGGGACAAGCCTAAACTAAGGCCAAGCATTCATAACTAATAAAGTCTCCATGTCATGATTTGGGGGCTGGCAGTCTGAGAAAGCCTTCTACAGGCAGGAGATGATGAGATTCTTTGAAGATGAATCTCAGGGAGTGGGGTGAACTAGCTCCTAACAGTTTCTCTACTATTGTAAGGTGTTTCCAAGCCCTTCTAACAACTTCTTCCAACAAAAATATGTTCATGATTGAACAACAATATACATGAGCCACTCCGGGTTTTCTGATTTCACTTGGAAAAAGATTGAAGTATTTTATTTTTGTTTATATATAATTAAGTGCTTTTCATTTTGTGTCATTTTCCTTTATTTTCAGACATGTCATTTTATTTTATTTATTTTATGTATACTAATGGTTTGCTGCATTTACATATGTGCACCATGTGCCTGGTCCCCATGGAAGTCCGAAGAGGGAACTGGAGTTCCAGATGGTTGTGAGCTGCCGTGTGGGTGCTGGGAACTGAACCCAGGTCCTCTGCAAGAGCAGTCAGTGCTCTTAACCATGGAGCAGCCTCTCCTGCTCCCAAACCCTTCATGTTTAATGAGTCTGTCTCTAAATTTGATGTTTGAATAATGAAATATAACTATTATGCTATTTGTTGTACATTTATAATTTCTGAGGTCTAAAATAGCAGTTTTCACTGATTTTTTTCTAACTTCTTTATGTATAAAATATTAGTAATCGTGTCCATAGTTCATTATAAATCTAAGATGAAGTTGACAACAAGGCAACCTTTCGGTTCTGTCCTGGTAACTGGATGGCCACCTGCTCCTGGTTGTGCTGATGGAGGGGCAGGATGCCTGTTACAGGATGCTTCATGTCCTTCTTATCCAGGTGTGATAATCAAAGTGTCTGCAGCCCCTCTCTTCACCTTTCCAGCGTGTGTGAGTGTATAGCACTGAGATCAACCCAAAGTTTCACACTTACTAGGCAAGCACTCCACACTGAATGACATCCCAACTCCCTTTAATTGCCTCTCCTGACCCGGTGGGGGACTCTGACCCAAACTGCAGTCCATAGTTATTTAACTAGGAGAAAGGGAAGGAGACCTCACAGGACAATGGTCACCACTCTAGTGACTCTACTCAGCTAAGAATGATCCAGTGATTTCTCAGTCCTCACAGCTAGAGGGTCTGGGAACCATAACTGAGTCCCATGAAGGTCACAAGGCTGTGACCAAAGCCCTTTCCACTTGGGCTTCCTCTCTTGTGACAGGAACCAACTGAAACTGTACTTTCATATTCACTCGCTCTGAACTTTCTAAAGGAAGGTGGTCAAAGTGGTTTGGGGTTGTGCCAGAGCTGGGATAGGATTTAGGAACCAAATTCAGGTTGCACAAACTGAACAGTGCTTCCAAATGCTAAGCAGGGCACCATTGGGAGGTCCTCTCTTCCGTGCTTGCTCCTGACAGAACACAAGCACACAAGGGGTTTTCCTTTCTCACGCCTGCCCTCCCAGAGGAGAAAATGGCATCTACGGAAACATGTATGGTGGCTTTCCTTCAGTTCTTTCTCCAGTAAATACAAAGGCGTCCTGTACATTTCCAATTGCAGAAATCTCATTTGTAAATTAGATAGAGCTCCCGTTAATACTGAAAAAGCTACTGTTACTGCTGCTGCTGTCCAATGGTCAGGGAGCCTCCCTCCAACGCCATCAGTTGCAGCTTTGTGCTGGATTCTACACCTACAAAGAAGCCAGTGCGGGTTTTTTGGAAGAGTGACAGCAGTGTGGTTGGAAAAACTTCCATGGCTTTTTGTGCTCAGAACTGCCAACCAGTTTTGTTTTGCTTTGTTTTGTTTTTTCAGGACAGGGTTTCTCTGTGCAGCCCTGGCTGTCCTAGAACTCAACTCTGTAGACCATGCTGGCTTTGAACTGAGATCCGCCTGCCTCTGTCTCCCAAGTGCTGGGATTAAAGGCGTGAGCCACTACCAGCCAGCAACCTCAGATTTTAAGGGTATCCTACATATTTGAAAGAATTACCTTTAAATTGCTACTGTTTTTAAAATTGTATATTCTAACTACAAGGTAATCGGCACTTCCTACTGTATCAGCTTGCATTGAGGTGTTTTGAATGCCCTTTGTCTCAAATTGAGTTTTAAATACAACTCCAGATTTGTTCTACTGGGCACACTTCCCATCAGCTTATTGAGTTTGTTTTTGTTTAAGGCTTCAAATAAAAGCTACCGCTGCTAAGTTGAGTGAGTAAAACACACAGGCAACAACTGTAATCATTTGTGGAGATGTTTAAAGCAAAAATCCTTTGGAAACAGATTGCAATGGTTGTATGCTCCCCAGACACTGTAGCCAGAATCAAGCCTCTCAAAGGCAATGGCAAATTGGAGGGGCTGCTGCAGCTACTATATCTTTCAAAGCTTAAAATGAATTATGTCAGCCTTTCTAGCCCATGGGTTTATTTTAATTTAAAACAACCCATCCATCCTGGGTCACAATAAAATGCTAATGATGACCAGGGCTTGTACGGTTCGTGAATTATAGCCACAACTAAAGAAACAGAGACCAGCCAAGTGTGGGATATTTGTACACTGTGCGAAGATATATTGCTGGAACTGGTGTAAATAAAAAGCTGAATGGTCAATAGTTAGGCAGGAGGTATAGGCGGGACTTCGAGGCAGAGAGAGAACTCTAGGAAGAGGAAAGGTGTAGCCACCAGCCAGATGTGGAGGAAGGAGAATGGACAGTACAAAAATGAGGTAACCATGTGCCAGAGCATAGATTAAAAAATATAGCCTGGCGGTGGCACACGCCTTAATCCCAACACTCAGGAGGCAGAAGCAGGCAGATCTCTGTGAGTTCAAGGCCAGCCTGATCTACAGAGTGAATTCCAGGACAGCCAAGGCTACACAGAGAAACTCTCTCTCAAAACAAACAAACAAACAAACAGGTTAATTTAAGTTATAAGCACGAGTTAGGAACAAGCCTAAGCTAAGGCTGAGCTTTCATAATTAATAATAAATCTCTGTGTTACTATTTGTGAGCTGTTTGTCCTGATGAGAAAGTACTGTCACAGCCAAGCCTTGCCTGAAGCACCTTAGGGAGTTAAGAACCAACAAACGGAAATCCTCTTTGGTCTGTGTGTAAGTCCTGCATGTTTAAAAGTGCAACATTCTTGTATTAGAGGCTGTTTGTGTGTGTTTTATATGTGTCCACATGGTCTTCTGTGTGCTTGTGTGTAGAGGTCAGAGGTCAATGTTGAGTGACTTCCTAAATTCCTTTCCATCTTCGTTATGAAACAGGGTCTCTCAGTGAACCTAAAGCACACAGATTTGGCTAGATTGGCTCCTTAGGGAGTCTTAGTTAGGGTTTATTGCTAGGGTGAAATACCAAGACCTAAGGCAACTTGGAGAGGAGAGGGTTTATTTTGCTTAAATTTCCAGGTAACAGTCCATTACTGAGAGAAGTCAAGGCAGAAACCTGGAGAAACCTGGAGGCAGAACTGAAGCAGAGTCCATGGAGGGGTGCTGCTTACTGGCTTGCTCCTCATGGCTTGCTTGGCCTGCTTTCTTATGGAACCCAGACCACACTTCCCACAATGGGCTGGGCCCTCCCACATCAATGACTGATTAAGAAAATGCCCTACAGGTTTGTCTGCAGCAGATCTTCTGGAGTCATTTCCATAACTGAGGTTCCCTCCTCCCAGACTACTATAGCTTGTGTCAAGTTGACACACAACCAGCCAGCACAGGGAGCTCTAGGGATTCTCCAGTCTCTGCTCTCCGGTGCTAGTGATGGCATTACTGGCATTTGCTGCTGCACTCTACTTTTATGTGGGTGTTAGGGATTGAACTCAGGTCCTTATGCTTGCACAGCAATGTATCGAGTAACATGTATACACACACACACACACACACACACACACACACACACACACACACACCCTACTCCTCTCCCCATTCCCCTCTGCTCACTTGCTGGCCCCCATTCTATCCCCAAATATTCCCCCTGATGCTTTCAGGACACACATGTATTCCATTAGCTTTTCTTGTTATCCTCACTTTAGAAATTCCCCTCACCTTCCATAGAATCCCCATTCTTCTTTCATCCATTTCCTGGGTGGGTGGGTGGGTGGATGGATGGATGGATGGATGGATGGATGGATGGATGGATGCATAGACAGATTTTGCATATGTGAGAAAATGTGCTATTGTCTTTCTGAGTCTCTTTTTTTTTTCACTTAACATAATGATCTGCCACTCCTTCTGTTTTCCTGTAAATGTCATGATTTTATTCCTCTTTACAAATGAATAAATTACAGGGTTTTGTTTTGTTTTTCCATTCTTAGCTATTGTGAGTAGAGCAGCATTAAACATGGGTGTGTATGCATCTCTATAATGTGTTGGCTTGGAGTGCTTCAGATAAATACCGAGAAGTGGTATAGCTGGGTCATATGATACTTCTATTTTTAACCCTTTTGGAAAACCCCCATAGCAATTTCTGTGTAGATTGCATCAGTGCACACTCCCAACAGTGTGTAAGTCTTTCTCTTTTTCCTAACCACATAATTTCACACCTCAGGCACCTGACTTTAACCACAGCCTTAATAGTCTCCCTTAGATATCATGTAAAGATGATTGTTTTTCCAGTCTTGAATTGCCATTTCCCTGAGAGTCACTCCTTGTGTTTTTGTAAAGCCTCACTCACATGTCTGCTGTCCTGCTCCTTGTCTGTCCCACAGATGCAGGTCACTCTGTTGGAGTATTGTGTAGACTGCTCACCTGCTCCTCCTGCTGTCTCTCAGCATCTAGCAAGGGCCTGATGCAGAGTGGGTGAGGTGGCTTGAGGGAGCAAGGTCCCACACAGGCTCAGGTCCCCGGTTAATGGAGGTGTTTAGGGAGGTTATAGAACCTTTGGGAGGTGCAGCCTTACTGGAAATGGAACGCCATTGTAGGGGTGGGCTTTGAGAGTTTATAGCCTCATGCCTCTCCCAGTTCACTCTCTGCTTCCTGTGTTCTGCTGGAGATGAGATCTCTTGGCTTCCTGCTCCTGCCATACCTCTGCCATGATGCACTCTTAGCCCTCTGGAACTTAAGCCAAAATAGACACCTTTATCCCTAAGTTACTCATGGTCATGGTGTTTTATTTCAGCAACAGAAAATAAGGGATGCAGCAGGTGTTAAGGACTAAAGTGCATCCTGTGTCCCAAGCTGATACATTGTTGTCTTAATCCCCAGTACCTCCAACAGGACAGCACTTGGAAACTGGGTCACTGCAGGTATGGTTAGCTACAATGAAGTTACTGTGGATCCTAATTCAATAAGACTGGTGTGAAAAGAGATTTCGACACAAACAGGCAGGGAGATGCCACATGAATGTGAAAGAAGGCAGATAGTGTTGTGTGTCTGTCAGAGACTGCCAGGGAGCCAGCCACCAGGAGCTGGAGGGAAGCCCCTAGCAGAGCCTCCTTTGCTGCTCTCAGAAGGAACAAACCATTCAGACTTCTTACCTCCAGCATCCCAAGGCAACAGATTTCAGTGTTGAAGGTGCCCAGTGGGGAGACTCCTTATACAGAGCCGTAGCTGATCCAGGGCTATGTGACAAAGAGAACTTGAAGAAGTGTCTGGCCCATGGCTTCCATTCCCAGGAATGGTTCCTGAATTTGGTTCTCCGAGCTCCTTACCCTGCTTTCACTGTCTCCTGTGGACAATAATGTAGATAACAAGATAAAGCTTTCTTTTCCACACTGTGCAGAGTGTCCCACTCCACCCAAGGCATTCACATATTTTTATGGAGTGCAGTTAAAGTTACTATTTGCTTAAACTAATGTATACCAGTAATAAGAAGGAAGCATGCCCACAGTCATGGCACACACCTTTAGTCCCAGCACTGTATAGGAAGAGGCAGGCAAATCTCTGAGTTCGAGGCCAGCCTGGTCTACAGAGTGAGTTTCAGGACAGATAGCCAGGGCTACACATACAAACCTTGTGTTGAAACACAAAGAGAAAAGAAAGAAAGAAAAAAGAAGGAATGGTGAGAGCTCTGGGGATGCAGCCTAAATATAAGGCCTAGATTCAAGCCCTGCATAGCAAAGTCAATGAATTAATTGAAAAATGTTTTGTTTTTAAATTTTATGTGTATAAGTGTTTGCCTGTGTGTACTCTCGTCTTCATTCCTCCCCACTCTCCCTCCTCCCCATTCACCCTCCTCCTCACTCTCCCTCCTCCCTACTTTCCCTTTGTGCTTCGCTCACTGGCTGCAGTCCTCACTAGAGCTCAGGTAGGGACCATGCCATGGAGTCGGTGGACCTGTGAACTCCATAAACCTTCTTTCTTTATAAAGTTAACCTGCCTGGGCTACTGAGTCACAGAAACAAAAATGAACTAATATGCAGTACACCAGGAAAAGCAAGTTCCTATGAAATTTGCTACAAAAAATCTTTTTAAATTGTGGAATCAGCATAATTAAGCCCAATTTTCTCACATCTGGGAGCTGTCTGATCTCTCTTCTTTAGGGGTGGGGGGATGATGTGGCCCAGTTGTGGGAGGCCTCCTGGGATATAAGATGGGGGTGGGTGGTAACTTTCTAAAACAAGATCTTAAAGAAAGGCCAGGCAAGGGTCAGAATGAAGCAGCTGGGCAGCAGGGTGGCTAAGTCACATGGGTCTACATCCATGTGTGTCTTTTATGGAAGAAGGCACCACATGCTAGGAGAGGTAAAAGAAGATAGATGTACACACAGTAAGCCTGGAGTCCCTCCTGACTCAAACTCACACCACTTACATGCTTTGATTTCCGGTTGGGGGAACAGAATTCTGTGAATGGTAAGTACACCCCAACCATTGAAACTCACTCACTTTTGCAGAGGACCCAGGTTCAGTGCCCAGTACCCACATGGCATAACCATCAGTGACTCCAGTCCCAGGGACTACCTCTTCTGACCTCCATTGGTACTACGTGGACAGGGCGCACATACACACATGCAGGCAAAACACTTACACACATGCATTTTTTTCAACATGGTGGTGCATCTCCCAGGTCCTGTGCTCTTCTTTTTTGGGGGGAGCACTGTTGGAGTCCCTTAGAGAAGCCATTGGTGGTGAGTTTTCCACAGAATCTTGACTGAAGGACCAGGAAGCCTCTGCCTTTGTGTCATGTAGCTCACCATGAAGGAGAGGCCTGATTTCACACCATGACCTAATTGTTCTGCTGAGTCAATCATCCTGCAGGCTCCATGAGTCTCTGTCTCTCAGTGCTGACTGGCAGGGCCCTAATGAACCCACCATGGTCCATACTCTGTCCCCTGAGCCTGCTCAGCTACTCATTTGGACCTTATGTTGAACTCTTGCTCTGGTCTGTCACCAATCAGCCTTAGCTGTGACCAGGAGGGCTCAGTAGACAAACCAGTAATTGAACATATGTAAGCTGTTTACTCTATCCATAAAGCACAGCCGGGCTCTGAGGAGGAGCAGTGGTGTGCAGAGAGGGTATCAACCCTCAGCACTCAATGCAGGGTTCGGCTAGTGGTGGAAACTTGTTTCCCAGCAACTGAGCAGGCCATTTCACCTGTGTGCAGTCAGCCTCATAGGAAAAGGTATCTGAACATAAAGATGTGGCCAAATTCGAAATAAAATGTGCTCAAGGGCAACAAGGCTCTGTGGATGAGGGAAGGGGCTTTTCCTGGAGTCTTTGAATATGTTACCATGGAAAGGAGCATTGAGCTTCTTGGTTCAACCTGCACATTTCAGAGCTAAGGAACCCGTGTGTGAAGTCATTCTGGTATCATAGCTGATCAGCAGAAGGATGGAGATGAGAGCCTGCTCCCAACTCAGTGCTGTGTGTCTGTATCCTGTCCATATGTGCTGATCCCTGGATTCACAGGGAGGCTCTGGGGGTAGGGAGGGGATAGCACTAATTCTGCATTAGAGGACCTAGAGCAGATGGGTACTAGACAAGGGAAAGCTAGAGTCTAATGGGCTCAGGAATGGAGTAGACATTCCTGAAGCCTGGAGGAGCCTAGTCTGAGAGGCATTAGTGGGAAATTAGAGTTCGGGTTGGATGGTACACTAGTCAGAGTAGATGATCTGGTTTCCAAGTGTCTTTGGTGATCGGTTCCAGGATCCCCTGCAGACACCAGATTCACAGATGCTCAAGTGTGAAATGGCTGCATTGAGCTCCCACAAATCCTCCTGGGTGCTTTCAATCACCTCTGGGTTATTATAAGACAAGGCAAATGCTATACAAATAGCTGTTAGTCCTTACTGTTTGGTGAGGAATAACATTGGCACTGGAAGCCTAGCTCAGGGGTGTACCACTTGCCTAGCATGCACAGTGGCTTTAATCCCTCCACTGCAAGGAAATGAAACAAAACAAAAAAACTATAGATTCTGGACAGATCCTGTGACTAATACCAGGAGCCACCCGGAGAAGTCACCTGCAAACAAGGAAGTCACTGCTTTCCAAGCCAGAACCACTGACCTGGCTGTGCAGCAAAATGGATGCTTCTTGCTCAGTTTTGGTTTCCACCCACTCAGCTGTGAATTGAAATCTCAGGGCCATCTGACCCGAGCCCTTTTTCTGCGCAGGCGTCAGGAGAACCAAACATCCAGAGCTCACACGTCCGGTTCCAAGAAGGAGCAGCCACGCTCAGGAACCCACTGGCATGGTCAGAAAGAGAAAGCTGCTGTTTGTTTCTTGGTTAGAGGAGGGCTACATCAGAAAGTGACTTTGAAAATATTTCTTTGGATATGTGGTGTGTACTACATTTGCTATGAGAGGTCCTAGAGGAGAAGGAGTGTGTGAGACTATGTCGGGCAGAGAGGAGAGGATAATGATGTACAGTGAGCTGACGAGACAATGGAAGTCCACCTTCCACAGGGAGAGATCTTGTTGCCTGTCCTCAATTCCTAGGACCTTGTCCACAGCTTGACACATGGTGGGTACTCCCTGAACAATTAGTATTGAGAAGGGCAAGTTAAAGATTATCAGGGAAAAACAACAAATGGGGTGTTACGATAAATATTATTGCCAAAAGCTGCCTGATCCCCACTGCCACGTGTGTGCTTTATGCCAGCCGCCTGCCCGAGTTAGGCCCAAATGAATACACAGAAACTTGTATTAGGTTCAATGCTGCTTGGCCAATGACTAGGATTCCTCATCTGTTAGCTCAGTCTCAATTATCATACATCTATATATTTTATAAGACTTATCTTATTGGACGCCTTATTGGCGTCCCTCATTGTTGGTGGATCACATCGTGCTGCTGGAGCAGGCGAACAGGAAAAAGGGCCCTTCCTGGTTCTCCTTTGCTTAAATATGAGTCACCTTGCTATGTCATTTCCTGCTTGGATCAGCACTTCTCTACTACATTTCCCAGAATCCTCTTTGACTCCGAGTCCTGTCTACTTGCTGTCTCATAGGCCAAACAGTATTTTATTTAACAATCAATAAGATAAACATACACAGTACATTCCCCATCAATGGGGCACTGTGGAAATTGGTATGAAGGTAACTAAAAGTAGAAATACCACATAAGTCAGCCAGACTGCTCGTGGGTATCCCCCTGAAGGGCTCTAAGCCAACATAGCACAGAGATGCTTGCATATCCATGTTTATAGCCAAGATATGGGATAAGCCTACACCCCCAGATGAGTGGGCAAAGAAAATGTAGTGTATACAGACAATAGAATTTTATGCCGCCATCTTGAACAAAGGATGGGAAATCGATTTCGCTGGAAGTCATTGCATTAAATGAAATATGCCAAACTCAGAGAAACAAATATTATGTGTTTTCTCTTATATGCACATCAAAATCAATAAGAGACATTGAGGTGACCCATATGTCTACAGACTTGATCCTAGAAACAGACACACAGACACACAGGGAGAAAAGCTGGGGTCGGGTATGCTATGGTCATTCCGATGGAGTACTAACTATACAGTGCAACAACCCAGCCAGGAGCCTTGGCAAGTTTACTATGTACAGCACAAAGGGAGGGGTTAGCTAATCTTAGGATGGCTCTGTAGGCAGCAATCTGAGGTTGTATCATCTGGGAGCAGAAAGCTGCAGTTGCTCGTTTTTTGAACACATTATCAATATCCACACCAGAGGAAGGCTTTGCCAATTTCCATGAGTTTGAGGCTTCCATCCATTCCTCACATTTACTCAGGACTCCATCCTCTCCTCACAGTCACTCAGGACTCCATCCACTCCTCACACACTCACTCAGGACTCCATCCTCTCCTCACTCAGGACTCCATCCTCTCCTCACAGTCACTCAGGACTCCATCCACTCCTCACACACTCCCTCAGGACTCCATCCTCTCCTCACACACTCACTCAGGCCTCCATCCTCTCCTCACAGTCACTCAGGACTCCATCCACTCCTCACACACTCCCTCAGGACTCCATCCTCTCCTCACACACTCACTCAGGCCTCCATCCTCTCCTCACAGTCACTCAGGACTCCATCCACTCCTCACACACTCCCTCAGGACTCCATCCTCTCCTCACACACTCACTCAGGCCTCCATCCTCTCCTCACAGTCACTCAGGACTCCATCCACTCCTCACACACTCCCTCAGGACTCCATCCTCTCCTCACACACTCACTCAGGCCTCCATCCTCTCCTCACAGTCACTCAGGACTCCATCCACTCCTCACACACTCCCTCAGGACTCCATCCTCTCCTCACA